TCACTCACTCACTCACTCACTCACTCACTCACTCAGCTCACTTCACTCACTCAACACTACGACTCACTCACTCACTGCACATCTCACATCACTCACTCATCACTCACTCACTCACTTCACTCACCAGCTCACTCACTCACACTCACACTCAGCACTCACACTACACTCGCTCACTGCACTCACTTCACTCACTCACTGACTCAGCTCACTCACTCACTCACTCACTCACGTCAACTCACTCACTCAGCTCACTCACTCACCTCACTCACTCACTCACTCACTCACTCACTCGACTCACCCAACTCATTCTTTTTTTTTTTTTTATTCTCACATCACTCACTCACTCACTCACTCACTCACTCACTCACTCACTCACTCACTCCCGCACTCACTCTTTCTCTCTCGCACACACGCACAAACACACACACATTCCCAGACGCACACACACACACACACACACACACACACACACACACACACACACACACACACACACACACACACACACACACACACACACACACACACATATGACGTCTCGTTATCTGTATCACTATACGTATATGAATCTGTCAGAGGCTAAGTGGAGTAAGCGTAATATGGTATCGTCTGGAGAAGTGCTCTTCTGGTGTGTTTTAGATATGCGCCGGGTTTGCCTAAACTAACTATTCACGCGTTCGCATCGTAACTGCCGTGTCAACATCCAAGAATATAGGCGCTGTTCATGAGCTTGCGCGAGCAAGTAAAAGGTGTTATAGAACCATTATTCTTTTATTATATAATTACGTATTTGACGCCGTTGTGTTTACTACAGGAAATCAGTGGTGGCTGGCCACTGCTCCTTTCGCGGTCACTGGTTCATACGAGGTATGCAAGAGAATTTAGGAATTTGTATAATAATTTCCGCATTAACTGTAGAAAATTAGAATATGACTGACCTTGCAGCGCATAGGCTATTTTATAATATGCTGCATATAATATAAAATTGTGGAATACTTATCCACATATCCAGCTTCCTCCACACCTGTCTTTTTCTCTCTCCTTCCCATTACTAACCTTCTAGCGATATTATCAGCAGTAGAAGCAGCGACATCAGCAGCAGCAGCAACAACAATAGCAGGGATAGAATTAGTTAGATGAGCTACGATAAATTACTTAAAAGTTTCCTTTCGCGCTGATGCTGAGCGACTGAATTAAAAACATTTCATTTGTGTCATTAGATTATTATCGAGGGAACTGTCGGCAGTAGCTGGTTCGGAGACATTTCTTTGGATGACGTCATTGTCTTCGATGGAGGTTGTCCACATACGAGTAAGCAAGTACTACACTATATTAAGTACGTCACAGCCTATCACTATAAGCTGATAAAAATTGAATATTTGGCAAATACAAGAGCCAGATGGTTATATATAGTTGTTGATCTTTTGGGTAAGGATGATACGAGATCGCTTCTTGATTAAATAAAATTATCTAAAAAAATGTATGCTGATCTTCAGAAACTCTGGAAGCAGATTTTGTTCTCCCAGCCTTAATTCACACTAGGTAGAATTCAAAACACTTCATATTGATACTGCCGCTATGGCATTTTTAAAGAATGACACAAACACGTCGATTTCGCAGAACAATGTTTGACCACTCACACCGTGTGTCATTCCAGAACAGTGCCATTTTGAACAAAACTTCTGTGAGTTTACTCACGACAGCACGGCCAAATTCAAGTGGAAGAGAGGTCAAGGTGGCACGCCACAGCAAGGCACTGGACCCACGTTGGATCACACTACCAACACGACTACGGGTAAAATGTATTCCATTGTTGTTCACACTTGGATTGGATATTCGTTCACGCATGGCTATAATGAAGATTCGTTCAATCAATCGTCGAGCTACTTGCGCATACACAGAAAGAGATTTTCGCGCTATTTATTTCTATCCTAAAACTTTAGGTTTTGAGGCTTTAAGTTTTGATAACAGTTAACTTACTGATCACCCGTTATCGCTGTTGCAGACGAGGGAACAGATGTGAAATCGCCATTTCCCATACTTTTTGTGCACTGGTATCTTACGGCATGACATATTGTGTGCACCCGCAGGTTACTTTGTGTATATTGATCAAGTGCGGAATCCCGTCGGGTCTAAGGCCCGCATGGAGTCGATGCAGTACGACTACACCCCGGTGGGCGAGTGTCTTGAGTTTTGGTACCACATGACTGGCAACGTAGCAACGCTGAACGTCTACCTGGAGGAGAACAACGACCGCGGCAACGCACTGTGGACCAGCCTGAATGGAAACATGAAGAACAGGTGGTACCACGAGATGGTCACCATGAAACCATCCGCTGCGCCGTTCAAAGTAAGCTCCATGTGTATTATAGCGTGTATATGTGTACGTATATATTATATTAGCGTGACGTACTGTAGTATAATGTGATAAATTACAAGCCATTTCAATATTTGAAAGTTTCGAGCGTATGTACGTTCAGCTACTTAAAAGACGCGTTCACCGTGCAAGGGTACATGTAATGTAAGAATACGCATCTATAAGAAAAGTGTATAAAAGGAAAATTACCAGCCCAAAAACGAAGAATTTGTAAGAGATTAATAACACAGTGCTTTACGCTACAATTCACGTCAACTTCACATTTGCCCTCACCACCTCGCAGGCTGTGTTTGAAGGCGTCATTAAGTCAACCAGTGGCGGAACTCTCGCCATCGATGACGTCTTTCTCATCAACGATATATGTCCACCGAGTGGCAGCTGCACATTTGAACGCCACATGTGTTCCTTCTACAATGACTTCGCTCCTGGAAATGCCACCTTGCCCTGGCTCAGAACCAATGGAGCAACCAACAGCTATTACACTGGTCCTTCTGTTGATCATACGCTTGGCACTGACCTGGGTACGCCGTGGTTTCTGAAATAATATGTTGCTCCACTACGAAGTGGTTCGTCCAACCAACCGTGTTTAACTAAGATTGCCTAAGTTGGACGATTAGACTACTAACCAGCCAAGTTTGAATGTTCCATACTAATCTAAAGGCATGGACGTGTTCTTTAAATTATTTCATAAATAGTTCTATTGTTATAAATAGTGTTCATTACACATTGTTTTAACGTCTAGACCAACCTTTAGTGTTTCTTATCTGGTGTAATTTTGCGATGGCCATAATCTATGGGGTTCTCTGGTTCATTCGCCTCCATGATTTGCCGTATACACTTACGCACCTACAGGTTACTATGTCTATCTTGAAACCTCATCACCTGCGAGACCTGGTGATTATGCTGTATTGTACAGCGATGAGATGCCAGCCACATCATCTATTTGCCTTGACTTCTGGTACCACATGTATGGCTCAAGTAAGCAAATATTGTTTCCTATTAAGTCGACACATCCTCTATGTCTATTTCGCAGATGAATTACTACATTATATGTGATCGTGTAATATACGAATGCGTCATACTTTTTATGCGTTATGCATTCAAGCGTTAATACCTGTGATTTTTTTTATGTAGTAAGCCATATTCCATATGCAATGACGTAATAAAACGCATAAATTTCCTCAAAAGTAGATAATATATATATATATATATATATATATATATTTATTTTTTCATATGTGTATATATCATAGAATCATTTTATTACTACTTGTAGAAATACAAAATACATTTTATTTCAGCCACTGAAAAGCTGACCGTGTACCTTGTGGACGACGCTATCACTTGGCATAGAGACGGAAAAATTTTGTTCAGCGAGACTGGGAACCAAGGCAACATATGGCATCATTTTGCAATATCGGTTACAAAGACATCTGCCTACCAGGTATACTAATTATTAACGAACCTAGCGCAGGTAAAGTAACGCAGGTAAAGTAACACAGTAAAGGTAGCGAGGGAAGGTAGCGCTGGCAAGGTAAGACAGATAAAAGGCAGCACAGATAAAGTAACACAGGAAAGGTACTGAGGGTAATTTAGGTGAGGTAATGCAGGCAATGTAACGTAGGTAAGGTACTGTAGTAAGGTAGTGTAGGTAAGGTAATGTTGGTAGGGTAAGGCAGGTAAGATAATGTAGGCAACGAAGTGAGGCATATCAATGCGATGTAAATCGGAAGCACTGCAAGCACAACGGAAAATAATATCGGAGACATACATAAGAAAACCGGCCTTAAAGTAGGCCTATCACATGTGAAAACAAATTGTATGAGACAACTTACCATACTCCACGCTATTTTTAGCAAGACCTCTATTATTCCAGATATAATAGTAGAGATAGGTGAGGATTCTTACGTATTAGTCAGGTTAGGTAGGGTTCTAATATCTATGCTTGCTAATATTTATCTCACAGATTGTGTTTGAGGCTGTCGTGGGCAGCGGTTACACCGGAGACATTGCGCTTGATGACATATATTTATACCCGGGGTCGTGCCTAGGTGACACGACAACAACGGACATAATTCCAACCAGTATTACCTACCGTACGTTGTGATATTTTACGCACAGTAAAACTATCATTTTATCTATTTTCAAAGTCGGTACCTATTATATATAGTAATGCTGTATCATTTGTAATTGTGCAAACGATGTCTATTAGACTCGCCTTTTTACTTCTTTTAAAATTTTATATTTATATATCCATTCATTATAATTGTAAGCATATCTACAAAATGCATTAATAATTGTTCACATGAATAATCGATAAATACAATCGATCAAATGCACCCTATATATATATATATATGTTTTAATATATGTATATGCATATGAATTTACAGCGACGTCGACATATGACTGCACATTTGACAGCAACAGCATCTGCCAGTGGGCGAACGATACGACAGGCGAGATCACGTTTATTTTAAATAATGGGCCAACAATGTCTATCTACACAGGCCCAAGCGCAGACCACACAACGGGAACAGAAACAGGTGACGCCACTATCATAACATGGACTACTGTGACGCTATTTGACATGGTCATATATGACTCTTATATCCCTATATGTCGATGTTGAAAAGTCATATGAGATAATGCCGACGATATATGGAGATTGAGAGAGATATGCGTGGACAGAACCTGAATTAATGTTCGAAATGACACCATTATTAGGATTGATGATTTCTATTTTTTTAATTTGGTGGATGATCACTCTTACTGTTATACGGAAGTTAATTTCTTGTAAAAGTGCACGAATTAAAGATATATGTGAACGCATCCATTTACAATATTTAGTGTTGATTACGTACGCTTTTACTATTGCATCGTCATTCCGGGTCATGTTTGCTAGGCTATTACATCTACATTGAAGCAAGTAGCACACCGTCCGGTTCAAAGGCGAGAATCATTAGCCCTGATATCAACATTGACAGCACGGGTGTCTGCATCAAGTTCTGGCATCATATGTTCGGTGCTGACATTTCTGATTTACACCTATATGCCATGCAAGGTATGATCCATTCATCGGGATTTACTACTACATGTATATCGTTTCTACGTGAGCACAATGCGTACACCCCCCCCCCACACACACATGCGCGCGAGCACGCACGCCCGCTCCCCCAGACCAATGTATAGGTACTATATGCATGGTTAATAGCCAACGGCGAACTGACCACGGTCAACTGCCCTGCTGGAACACAAACTGCGCGTGATATAATATTTGCACATAAACATGTGTCTTCATGATTTCTATGATTTCACACGTTCATATGAAAAAGAGAGCGAGAGAGTGCGAGAGAGAGGTGTGGGTGTGAGGGCACTGAGAGAAGAATTAAAGAGAGAACGGGCAAGAAAGGGAGAAAGGAGAAGCGAGCGAGGGGAGGGATAGAGGGTAAAGCTGGGTTTCTACTGCCAACTTTGTGTTGGCGAATTGGCGAATAGGACCAACTTCCTAACGCTTTATCAACCGTTCTATGAACTCTGCAGTGCGTTTACACTGACGACTGCGAGTTTGCCAACTCGATCGAGCGGTCAGCGTCGACCGCGAGCGAGGTACCGCACTCGCGCAAACACTCGTGCACAGTCACAGAGTCCGGATGCCACGAGGGCAGTGGATTACCGGAGGGGTTGCCCATTGAATTTGTCCATGCTCGTGTTGCCGACCTCCTCTTCATGTGCACGTGCATGCGCGTGTACCTTCCCCCGTGTACAGCAGGTGTACGTGAGTGTATCTGCCGTACACAGATGGACATGATCCGCACGCGTGCATGTATACGCACATACACGCGTGCGTATACATGCATGCGCACACGTACACGCGTGCATGCACATACACACGTGCGTGCACATGCGCGCACATACACGCGTGCACGCACATACACGCGTGCGTATACATGCATGCGCACACGTACACGCGTGCATGCACATACACACGTGCGTGCACAGCGCGCACGTACACGCATGCACGCACATACCCACGTACGTGCACGTACACGCGTAAGCGCACATACGCATGCGTGCACATACACGCGTGCGTGCACGTACCAGCGCGCGCGCACGTACACGCGTGCGCGCACATACCCGCGTGCGTGCTCGTACACGCATGCGAGCGCGCACATACACGCGTGCTTGCGTATACACGCGCGCACGTGCGTATAAACGCGTGTGTTCACGTACACGCGTGCGTGCGCGTGCACGCGTGCGTACACATGCACGCGTGCGGTCATGTGCATCTGTGCACGGCAGATACACTCACGTGCACCGGTACGCAGGTGGAAGGTACACGTCCGCGTGTATGAACAAGCATGCGCGCGTGCACATAAGGAGCTCGGCTGCACGTGCTTGGACCGGTCTGCCAAGTGCAGCTGCCGCGGAAGATAGAAGGATACTTAAACTACTTTCACATTAATAACCTAATTTAGGGTTAGTTTAATTTTCATCAGGTTCATTTCTACTGCTAAAAATATGAGCACTTTTGTCGTATATACATTTGTGATACTACGACTGATTACAATGCGTCTCTTCTCCCCCCCCCCCCTCTCTCGCTCTCTCTCTCTCTTCTCTCTCTCATCTCTCTCTCTTCTCTCTCTCTCTCTCTCTCTCTCTCTTCGTCTCTCTCTCTCTCTCTCTCTCTCTCTCTCTCTCTCTCTCTCTCCTCTCTCTCTCTCTCCTCTCTCTCTCTCTCTCTCTCTCTCTCTCTCTCTCTCTCTCTCTCTCTCTCTCTCTCTCTCTCTCTCTCTCTCTCTCTCTCTCTCTCTCTCTCTCTCTCTCGCTCGCTCGCTCGCTCTTTTTCTATATCTCTCTCTAGCTTTCTCTCTCGCGCACCCTCTCTCTCTCTCGCTCGCTCTCTTTCCAGGCCCGTAGCCAGCTTTATATTGGGGGGGGGGGGGTTCGTTTTAAATGTTGGCAATTTGTGAGGGCACGAAGTCAGCGAAGCGAGAGAGCATAGCGACCGAGCAGGGGGTGATTCCGCTGAATGAAGGAAGGTTCAGCCCAGGGGCGTAGCTACGGAATTCAAATTTTCTGTGCCCCCACACCAGTGCCCCCCACTGAAAATTCATGCTTGATAAAAAAAAAATTGAATTAAAGACAATGCCGTTAGAAACAGTATAATACAAAGAAAAGTTATATATTGTGGCCCCCCCAACGAAAATGTAAGCTCCCCCCCCAGTGCCCCCCGCTGAAAAAATCCTAGCTACGCCACTGGTTCAGCCTACGGTGCTGACCAATATACCCCT